AAGAACGTCTTCGGCATTGCTACCATCTGTTTTCTGGAAGTCATTCCGAGTATCACCATCTGCATTACCCATCAGACCGCATAGCTTCCCTTGTAAAAAGAGCCATTGTATGATACATCTAATACATGCTTTCTCAGAGTCCAATTAAAAGTGAATGTTGTGTCCTTCGAAGTGAAATGAAGTTTTATATGTTTATCCTCTTCCTGTATTGTTATAACTTTTGCGTCAGTCACCTGTCCACCGGTACTTCCCTGTGGAATGAGAAATTATATTAATTAATCAGTATCTTGTTTTGCTCGCTAAATTCATAAACAAATGTAAATTGACTTTACTTTGCAATATTATAATACTACATATTGACAACTTACTGTAGTAACATCCAGTCCATTAACGATCGCGTATTGATTTCCAACTGTTACGTTGAATGCGATAATTTTTGTTCGAACTTGGTCTGGTGTACTATCTTCTCTTGGTTCAAACTTAGCTGTGACTTCAAAACGAGGCTTGTTGGTGCAGTCCTTGAAGAGGATGTACCAGCCTGTTCCTTGGAATGTATATGCACGACTATCGAATGTCCTTATATGAGGATCACCACTCGCACCAGGAGGAGGAGGAGGAGGAGGAGGAGGGCCTAATAAAACATCAACTCACACGTTATGTATGAAAGTTCTGCTTCTGTACATCACACGAAATAAAAGTGGAAATACACAACAAATGGCTCTTTCTATCATAATTGTTCATAATTATCAATCAATGTATGTTATAGGCATGATTTAATTGGCAAAGGCGTGAGTTGCCACTAATACATTCGAATGAAAATGCACCTGATATTATTGTGGGGAAAAATCAATCACTATACTCACACTCGCAGATTGCGCCAGTGTCCGTATCATCACAGATATAGTCATTCCATTCTGAATTGAAACTGTCAAATATAAGTTAATTGACTGAAATATAACTGCATAGGCCACAATAATTTTGTTCAACGAGATAGCCTTCGTAATTTATTGGTTATTAATGTTGTTGAGTGTACTACAGAAACAATATCAACAGTTATTACAAACTATAATTTGTCAGAATTCTACTTAACTATGATATTAACTTTACTTACTTCATATCAACACAGTGTTGGATGTTGTCAAAATTGTTTGGCTGTCCAAGTTTCCAATTATTGTATACAATGTCTTGATCGTCAGTGTAGTAAGTGAATCGCCCTTCGTGGTTCAGATCAGTTATTCCAAGCCAAAAAAACCCTAATAAATTCAAAATAAAACTAGGCAAGTGAAAGCAATTACTGGGCTACAAATAATAAGGTTTCATTGTTTCATGATTAAAATCCTTAATAGACAGCGGTTAGACTTGCTACAATTACGACATATCTATACCTCCTCCTGGTAGTATAGCCTGTATAGCGTTGTTTTCTTGTTCAGATTTGGGTTGTGCTAGTGTACAACCCATTGCTTCACATTTTGCTTTAGCATCATACCAGGTTATTGGGCCATCCACAACTGTATATACGCTCGAGAGACCTGCATAACAAACACGATTAATATTTAATAACAAACCAATAAATATACATTTGAACTAACGAAAAGTACATACATGTATTAGGTGTAACTGCTGAACAATATTTTGTCAATATTTATGATTGCAACATATTTAACCAATACCATTGTCTTGCTACAAAATGATACAGTAACAGTGTTAATATTAAAATTACATGATTGAACATAGCCGCTTAAAATGAAGCATTGAAAACATCGTATTCTCCAACACCGTGAGACATTTAATACATATCAATAGATTTTGTTGTAAACTGTTATTTAGTAGTGATAACACATTAATAGTTATTGATTTGCCATTGTTTTGCTGACGTAAAGGTTGTACTTACTCCTATGTTCAACCATTTTCTGTATAAAAAAGAAAGAATACAACCTAAATGTTAGATGTTAATCGCAAGTGATCATTGTAATTCCGTATCATTAATTTATTCATTGGCGATAAAATAATTTACTGAAAGTATTTTTCGTTGAATATTAACCATGGCATTCCCAGAAACATCATCGTCTGAATTTCATGTTTAATTTGTCAAATATTTGTGTAATAAACATGTATGTAATCAATATAAATAAATTTGTACCTTCTGTTATAGAAATAATAAAATGTTTCAAATAGAAAGTAACTTATTATCGACGATATTGTGTCAAGAATTTATGTATATGAATTATGTATATTTATATTAAAAAAACCGCTCGTTGAAAATTAACCAACATAACATTTAGACATAACATTGGTAAAACTTGTGTTTAATCAGAAAAATGGTGTTTAAGGTAGAGATGCAGGTTGGGAGACTATATTTTTAATTGGCTCTAATTATTTGAAAGAGTTTTATTTAAACTTTCGAGTTTTATGGTTTATAATATTGTACTATGACACCATATTAAGTGGTGTTGATTTTGGGTTAAAATCATGCATTTTTGGTGAAAGTGCACTTAAAACTTTTTAGTTTCTGTTTACCAGGAACATAATGGCTTATTTATTTAGTGTTTTCATTTTTACACAGTGCTCTTTGAAACATTCACATTTTATAAATCGTTCACAATTAACAAGGCAGCTCTATTGTTTCTGTTCTGAAGTGAAGACAGTGAAACCACACGAAGCCATTTACTTAGGGTAGACCTGAATAATCATCCTGAAAATGTCATTGAAAGCAAATGAACCGTCTAATAGTTAAATAGTTTTAAAGTTGAGATTTTGAATAGAAAATGAAACTGAGATAATCGCCATTTTGTAAAAAAGTGATAAAAACAAATCATTCGCTTCATATGTGTAAACTCATAGAAATACACCATACACCGAAATTTGCTGATTTGCCATTTTGTAAAAAAGTGATAAAAACGAATCATTCGCTTCATATGTGTAAACTCATAGAAATACACCATACACCGACATTTGCTGATGTTAAATCGTCAGGTAAAAACAATCGAGGGAAACGGACGAAAAATTGTCCGCGAAGTCACAACCTTGCATGAAAACTGTCATGGCGTCGTGTTACCAATCCCACTGAAGGAGGGGCACAATGAATTACGTTAAGCCGATGAGATATTCATACAGTTATATAAACATAGCGTATAAACATAGCGATTGCCATTGTGAGTTGAGTCTAAAATTACCTTCCCTCAAACCTTTAAAAAATACTTTGTATGACGCAGTTTCCGCGATCTCCGGTGAAATGAACCGTGCTAAGTTAGACAACGCGGTTGAAATTGGTCTAATATTTTACTACACAGCGGCTATTTGTTTTTACTACTCAATCACCCAAACGCCGGTGAAACAATTTCGAAGTGAAGTCGCATTGGAAGGGAAACTATAGTAAATCGAGGCAGGTTTCATTCAACTGCAGACAAGACGGGTCGATGAAAATTAAACGAACCATGACCTCTAAAAATACCTCATACATAGAGTGCCCTAGTACCCGAGGTCGCCGAGCATGGACGTACAACATACTTTGCGACATCGCTACCAGTGCACGCTAGCTGACAAGGGAATTTCCGATTAAGGTAACCTAGATCCCATCGCAGAGTGCGTGATTTTTCCGCGGTGTTTAAAATCAGCATCTCGTTGTTGATTTTTCTGAAATTTTCAGGGTACTTTTTTATTTCTAATTAACCGAGCATTTTACGGTTGTGTATTTTGACACTGAAAAAATTAGTTATCGATGACAGCAACAACAGTGTTGTTTGTCCATTGCATCGCAATGCACGGCACGGTGATCGTTACAGCGAAACGGAAAATGTTTACTTCAGTGTTAAAAGGCCTTCGAACTAACAAATATGTGGAAACATTTTTTAGATTCGCACACAATGCAAAAAAATTAATCGCACTATCGGGCCTTCCTCCTTTATGAAAATAAATAAATAAATCAAACTTTTTAACAGTATACCACTGGAAGCTGCCAGGCGAGAAGTTGTTGACATATTGCGAGATGAGGGTGAACAAGTTTACAAATGTATGTTTGTTTCAGACTGCCTAGGTAAGAAAAAGCAAAAAAAAAAAGAAAAAAAAAGAGAGGATGATATTTATATAAAAACTGCAATAATGCTGGTAAGATGCCAATAGTGATGATAAGTGAATATACACACTACATCGTAGATTGAACAAATAAGTAAACCTACCTCGTGCGGGACTGCTTGAGTCAAACTGGCAAGGATCAATAATAAACATAACATCATTGCTGCCTTTCCTGCAATACTCTTCTACGGGAAATGTTGTGCAGAGACTTCAGACAAACACTCATGCAACTGATAGATTGGATCCGCTCATTCGATTTTAACGATTATTTTTTGCTGACGTGTGTTTGTATAATCTCTACATTTGAGGGCATTTTCATTGGTTAAATAAAAAAGTGCACACGCAAGTGATTTAATTCGCGCATGCTCATTTTCATTTCTTGCGTGGCGACTGCTGGGAGTGGTAGGTAGGTGAGAAAATACACTAAACCGTGCTATGAGTAATGCACACTACTGAGTTAAATACATCGGACATACTCGTACACAACATTGGTACATATCACTTCGTGATAAGGATGGCTTTAAATTCTGTATATGTTATGCTGGGAACATTATGTCTAGATTGAGTGATTAGAAATTCTTATAATGCATTGCCACATACATGTACGCTAAGTATACCCATTTGAATCAGTAACTTCATTATATTTTATCTCAGCATTTTATTGTATTATTTGCCGACCATCTACAAGTTATCCTCACACGTTGAAATGAATGAATCAATTTGTCTACTCAAAATATCCTGACAAAAATAGCTTGACATTTCGAGCAATGGCTCTTTATCAATATCAATTTTCTTCTATGCTATCGATAAAGAGCCATTGCTCGAAATGTCTAGCTATTTCACATATGTAGTATCAGACTATTGAACCCTGTCAGGTAATTACTTTCTGATGTCTTTGCTGACCTTATAAATTTTATCGCCACGAGAGATGTGGACAGGGAATTCCTAGAGCACTGCCCAGCGATAACAGGGATGCACTGCTTTGACACTGCAGTACTTGCAGCTAAGTCAACGAACATAAGATTGAAAGTGTTTGATTAGTTAACATTCTTTGTTTTCACCATTCGTATGGATAGCAGCAAACAGTAAACGGATTTTTGTTGATGTTAAGATATCCAAGTAATTTTCAATTGCCTGCCTATGTTCGCATATCCTTTGTTCATGGTCTTCTACACGTAACAGTAATACACACATACCTGTTTTCATCTAAAGCCACTGTTGGATGTATATTTTACTTTTATACAATCTATAGTACTACATTTGACGTAAAGAATCTCGCAATGCCAATTAATACGTGATAAACATTATTTCACACAACACTGTGCTTGCCCTTTTATTGTGCAATGATGGACAATAAAATGGCGTCCTTTAATTTCAATATACTTGTTGAAATGTCTAATAACTGTTCCATTGATTTCATACAATTTAAAATCTTAAAATCGGGAATCTAATTTTGCTCATTATACACATGGAGTGAAATAAGGCTCTACATCACATTAGAACTGCCAATCAAACCATTGTATACAATCATAGACAATAGTTGATATAATCATATCCTTATGCTGACTGGGTTTTAATGCACACCTGCATCCTGAAAAAAACAATTCATTGCACAATATGCTGTTGTTAAAACCACAGATTCTGGCGTCCAGTTAAAGGGAAGCAGAGGTGTGGCTTTTGACACTCTGTACATGAAATCTGAGATCTATGAATGGATTCTGTCGATAAAAATAACTTGTATGTGCTGCGAAATGCCCTAAATATCGGGTATAAATCATGCTGTGAAGCAGACGACAAACTTCCGCTTTTCCTGGTGTCATTTCGCCTCTAGAGGGCCAGTCAAATGACGTCATCAGTGAACGATGATATCTGAAGCCATTCATGCTAGTACGCCAATCCCATAGAAATGCGACTATGAAAGACCTTGTTAACTGACTACTTAAAAGTTGAAACATGGCGAAATGTTGTGCGCATGAATGCCATAACGATTCATGTTAAGTTTCTAGAAATCTCAAATAAAAAATCACGTTGTTGGTTGCGAGAAATCGGCGGAAGAACTAACCTGAAAGTGAAGACAGTACAGCGTTCTGGCTATAGTAAACATTGAGTGAATAAATATTGTACGAGTTAAAACTAAATGAGAAATATGCTAATATCACTTGAACCACAGTACTCATTTTGCCCAACTTCCCAGATTTTAAACGATCGCTTAATTTCCGACCGCACTGTATTTTCCGACCGGAAAACGACCACATTTTTACCGTTTTTTTTCTCTCGCTCGTATATTGAAAACACCGACCGCTCGCCCAAACACTGGTCACCGGCACAGGAGTAGTCAAAATGTTTGGGGATATACAACAAGTGTTAACTATTATAAATTCTGAACGGCTCTTCAAATCTATACCACTCTGTATCGTTCGCGAACAACTTCATCTGTGTCAAAATACTAGAGTCGGTACAATATTGTAAAACAAATGCCATGATATCTCAGTCATATCGCTATTCTATACACTACCTTTTTTATTCTTGTTTGCACAAACGTTGAATAGCCGTCAAACATTCAAATATATTTAGTTTTTAACTATCTATAATTATATGCACGCACTTTGACCCTTTGACCTAGATTTGATTGGGATGGAATATTTTATTTTAAACAATATTCTGACGTTACTTACTGCCCCCAAAATGTTTCAACACAATTGCGGTATGACTGTCCGATTTACAAGTGTATTGGGTAATATATTAATAACCATTCTCACCAATCGCTAGCTTAGGAGCGAGTAGGAAACAAACAGCCGCAGGTCGCCCAGAAAGGACTGCGAAATTAAAAAGATTATATTTCTACAAAGTTAAATAAATCTGGCTGCATCAAAAGCTTGGAAACTAGTTATAATATTTTGCAAAAGACTGAGTGATCAACGACATCATTTTAGGATGCAATTGAATTTTAAGTACTTTCATTGCGTAACTTACTGCGCGGCGATGCTGACATCAAGTGTGTGTTGACCGAAGTTTGACCCCCAAGTCACGCACTGAACAGGCGCGTTGTCTTAGCAATCATTTTCTTTCATGCTCCGCGCGTCGATCTTGTAAAATTGTTATTAGTTCTGACGGTGCTGTACGGAAACTTGTATATTTTGAGGTCGTTTACTTAGTGCGCTGCTTTTCTAATTACGCAAATTTGTTTACAATGTTGTACCGGCTCTAAAAATTTCAACATTGTAATATATCGGTTTCATAATAATTACGCAAAGTCAGTTATTTACTGTTGGACACAGGTGAAGTTTCCTCCGCGAATGATACAATGTGGTATAGATTTGAAGAGTAGTTCGGAATTTAATAATAGTTAGTACCCGTTGTATCCCCAAACTGTATCACTCAAAACCACTATTTCGACCACTACTCTGCCAATGACCAGTGTTTGGGCGACCGGTCGGTGTTTTCAATGGGTCGGTGACAGAACAATTACGATAAAAATGCGGTCGTTTTCCGGTCGGAAAATACAGTGCGGTCGGGAATTAAGCGATAAGCTTAAACAATATTTATTTACTCACTGTTTACTATAGCTAGAGCGCTGTACGTGTCTTCATTTTCAGGTTAGTTCTTCTACCGTTTTCTCGCAACCAACAACGTGATTTTTTATTTGGAATTTCGAGAAACTTAACATGAATCGTTATGGCATTCATGCGCACAACATTTCGCCATGTTTCAAATTTTAAGTAGTCAGTTAACAAGTTCTTTCATAGTAGCATTTCTATGGGATTGGCGTACAAGCATGAATGGCTTCAATTATCAGTGTTCACTGATGACGTCATTTGACTGGCCCTCTAGAGGCGAAATGACACCAGGAAAAGCGGAAGTTTGTCGTCTGCTTCACAGCCCGTTTTATACCCGATATTTAGGGCATTTCGCAGCACATACAAGTTGTTTTTATCGACAGAATTCATTCATAGATCTCAAATTTCATGTACAGAGTGTCAAAAGCCACAACTCTGCTCCCCTTTAACGGTTATTTGTTATAGAGAGACCCTTTTAACATTTATTTTGAGCAAAATCTCAACCGAATATCAATGTTGAGACATTTTCGTGCCCCATTGCTGTTGAATTTCTGATGCAATAATGTATTTTTTTCTTGCCATAAATGTATCTGTTACATAAAAATAGGGAGGTATTTTATATGTTTCCACTTTTGTATGTGGTTTATTATCACACATTGTTTTTCATTTTCATGTTTAAACAAGAAACCATATAAAGCTATAACTGCCAGGTGAAAGTGTGAAAGAAATAGGGCGTTTTCTATAGTTTCATATATGTTATTTTCAACCATCTTTCGCATTTTCCAAAACTGACATTAATGGGAAGAGTAACCAGACATACTTACTTGACATCTAAAGGCCAATTTGAGTTTACAGTCATCAGACTTTTCCATTCCCTCCATAGTCATATAGACTTTTATTATTTTTACTACCTATT